GCAGGTGCCACACGTGCCACAGCCAGCAGTGCCGGCTTACCCCGGAAGTAAACATGCCCATGTGTGATGAGGACAGGCCCCTGCTTTAGATCCAGTGGTTTGCGGTGTCCCTCAGCCGCAAGCCAAGCAGATCATGTAGCCAAGGTCCGGAACATTCTATGCTCTTGGTATAACAGCGATCCCAGTTCATTTACAACAGTCCCCGGCCTTGGCCTGCACCACTTGGAGATAACTCCCTCTGGCCTGAGAGTCGGAGGCCACACGTGGAGGCAGCACACCTTATCTGTGTGAGGCAAAACAGCACGAGCCACATCCTGTTTCCCCTGGTCTGAAGATAAGGGAGGTGTGCTACAGAAATAAAGCATCTCCTCGGGCCAGTCAGTGCGTGTGCTACCAGAGCGCAGGCTCAGGCAGCTCGGGTCCACCAGGGCTCCCGGGAGCTAGACCATACTACCCAAAGCCAGCCTGGAAGCTGAAAGAAGCGAACTGAGGGACAGGAGAGGCTAGGAGAGGAGAAAGGCGGGCCTGCCCTCATGGCTTGGGCCCTGAAAACAGACTAGGATCAAGTACTGACTTTCTCTGAAGTGGGCCAATAAATTCTCTTCTCTGTCAACCAAGAAGTTTGTCCTCTGTGGGTTCACACTGAAACGTCATCTCAGGGAAGGACATCGGGCCACAACCATCACCCACGTCTCCTGCCTCTACATCGTCCCTCACATGTGGCTGCTGGCCAAAGCCTGAGCCCTGAGCCCCAGCCGCGGCCATTTTGGCTGGTTTACGCCATCCACCCTTGCTCCTTCCCCATTTCCATCTGCTCCACCTCAAACGTACACCAGGCCACTATGGTCCAGCCTCGAGTGGAAGCTTCCAGCCCCTGACTGCCCCTGCCCCGGGCCTCACTCCCTGGTAGAGCCCCTCTGCCAGGTGGCTCTTCTGCCTCCACCAGGAGAAGGTCAGGCATGGCTGCGGTGAGGGGGCAAAGCTCCCCAGCTGAGGACAGCTGCTCCTCTCCACCTAGGCATGGTTTGTGGTCTGCTTCACCCTCAGTCTTTGAACCCCTCTTGCTATCAGACCGAAAGCTCCCTGAGGGTAGAACTATCTCCTTTCGCCCTCATGCCCAATCTCCAGAGCATGTCAGGAACGTCAGTAGAGCAGTCAGGAAAGGAACAAAGAAACCAAGTGAGTCCTGGGAGCCGGGTAGATGCGTCCTCCCTTCCCCTCCTTTTTCTCCCCTCCTCCCTGCTCTCCCTCCTCCCTTCCTTCCAGGCATGGTGCTGGAGCAGCAGCCCGAGCTTACATCTTCATACTCAAGGCACAGAGAACAGAGAAAAAGCTGTGGGAGTGGCACGCCTCCTCCAGCACAGCTGCACCTCCTAACCCTTCCCAAAAAGTTCTAGCATCTGGGACATCGTATTCAAACATACGAGCCTTACGGCGCAGTCTCCTTCAGACCGCTGCACTCTCCCTTCTCTCCGGGAGTGGTCAGTGTGGTGCTTTGACGAGATGCCCCCACAGTCTTGGACATTTGCACACCTGGTCCCCAGCTAGTGGGACTTCCAGGGAGGAAGATGTCAGAGGCAGGCTCTGAGAGTTTCAAAGTCTCACACCATTCCCAGTGTAGTCTCTGCTTCCTGTTGGTGGTTCCAACTCTCAGCGCTCGATCCCTGGTATTTCACACACACCCTCTGAAACCAGAAGCCCAAAATGAACTCTTTCTTCCATAAGTTGTCTTGGTCATGGCGTCTCACCACAGCAACAGCAATAATTAGTCCGGCCAGGCTTGGGGAACCAATGCTGACTGAACTCAGAGCACACAACTATGAAGCCCGCTCTCAGAGAAACACAGACACACACAGACACACACAGACACACACACACAGCCTGCCCCCACCCCCACTGGCAAAGCTCTTATTAGAGGCTGAATAAAGCCAAGCTCTTGACCACACTGACACGGGGTCCAGGGTGGGTATAAGCCACTCCCAGCCACATCACATCTACACTCACAAAGTCCTGGCTTTAAACCAGCTGGCCTTTGACTGCCATCCCACAGAGGCTGAAGCAGGAGGATTACCATGTGTTCAAGTCCATCCTAGGAGTGTCAGGGCAGCTTGGGCTATTGCAGAAAACCCTAAATTTAAGAAGAAGAAAAAATCCGATACAAATGGACCAAACTGAAGGGGAATGAAAAAAAAAAAAAAAAAAAAAGACAAACAAGCCAGGAATCCCAGGGGTCAAGGGCTAGAAATAGACCACACACTCAGAACTGCATTTCCGGCCTCTTTAATAGCAAGCCACGGGAAGCGATGGTGCGCTGCTGGACGGCTGACGCACGCCCCAGATGGGAGGTGCTAGCCCAAGGTCCTCACAGCACTGGGCTGCCGGGCTGTCAGACTGGCATCGGGCAGGACAGAGGCTGCGCTCATGTCCACAGAGGCCTAGTGTGAGAGGGCAGTTGGGGTGTAAAGCCACTTCAGTGCCCAGGGCACACTCATTTCTGTCCCACTCCAGGAGTGTCACACAGGAGTGTCACAGCTCAGAGGCGGCTCTGAGTGCCAGGGTCCCAGGATGAGGCGTCACCACAGGCCAGGTGTCCTTGGTCCGTCGTCTGCGACACAAAGGGGGTGCGGCGGGCAGCTGGGGTTCCCTGGCATGACGGCGGGTGGAGGGAGAGCTCTCCAAGAGGCACACAGCCAGCTCCAGCACCTGTAAGACATGGTGCCCTTGTCTTGACTGAGGGCCATGCAGGCCGCTGAGGAGAGCAGAAAGGCCCTGTACACGATGCTGAGGCTGACAGGCTAGCCCAGGCTGTCAGTCCATCCACACAGGCTTCAGGCTGACAACACACTGGGAGCACAGATGTCTGCTCATCAGGTCTACCCCCAGGCCTTTAAAGGAGGCGACTGCAACATCCCTGCTCCCGTTCTCCAAACTCCTTCATCCCCACACATCCTGACAGCCTTGACCAGACAGAGATCCGTGGCAAACTTCGGAGCGTTTTCCCTGTCCCCAACACGTAGGCCCCTAACACCACAAACCCATTCCAAACACCCAGCCCAAGGGACATCAAAGGCAGGAAGTTGGATGAAGAAAGCTGCTGCCTGCCCACTCCCCCAGCTCTGCCCCCACCCTTGGTGTGGCAGACAAGACGATGCTGGAGACAGTCACAACTACACACCCCTAAGGCCGCAGGGACTTGGGCAGATAGACCGCTTGGATCTTCCATCCATGTCTTCTCCAATAATTCTCCCGGCCCCTCCCGTCCCTCAGGTTCCGGCCAGGAAAGCTGAGGCCAGCTGGTAAGGAGCTACCGCCTGGCATCTGAAGACGGTTCTAGAAGCAAAAGGTCTCTGGCAAGGCCAAGGAGGAAGGAGGACAAGAGGGCAGTGCCGATGAGGTTTAGGGTTGCGGCCCCTGACCCAGGCTGGAGGCTACGCACTGTGATGGCTCCTTACTAAGGGAGGGAACCACGTGTTCTTCCAGCGTCTCCAAGTAGTGGGAGAGCGGAAGGGAGAATGGAGCCAAGAGACTAAGCTTGGAACCCAGAGTTCCGAGGTTGAGGTCCAGCTCTGCCCCTCTCCTGAGGATGCTGCCTATTTGCCTCTTTGAGCCTCATCTTTCTCGGAGTTTCTTTGAGTGTGTCCATTTCCCAGGGAAGGTGTTCAGAAGGATCTAGAGACTGCCAACGCACTGAGGAGAGAGAAGGAAGGCACACAGTAGAAGACAGCAGAGTGTGGCAGGCAGCAGGCCAGCCGGGAGGAGCCTGGTATAACACAAAGTTCCCCAGTGCCCAAGACCAGGGGAGTGAGCGGGGACAGCTCCCAGGGCCCTGCCCACTACCCTGATGCCAGGGGCTCATTCTCTGTTTCTCTCTCTCCCTCTCCCTCTCTCTCTCTCTCTCTCTCTCACACACACACACACACATACACTGCACTGCCCTGGACTCCGAGGCGGAGCAGGAGGCATCTCTGATGTGAGATGTGAGAAACCTGTCACGCCCAAGGCTGGTGTGACACGGTTGCCCAGGACTAGTGCCAACTCCTTAGCTGCTAAGCAAGGATCACACATCATCAGCTTCACAGCGGATTACCTGCACCTGCCCACACCCTCAGCCCCTCACCAGGCCATCCCTGCAGGCAACCCGCACCACTGCCTCTTGGCGCTAACTTGAAAGTAGGAGTGGCGAGTCACCACAGCGCTCACAGAAGCCCTCAGGAGTGCCTACACACAGCTGGACGTCAGCAGGAGGTGATGAAAGCACCCCTGTCTCATGGGCCAGTCTAGGTGGCTGTGGACGGGAATTACTCTGTCCTTCAGGCCACCCAGGTCCTTCTCCAGATGGTTCCTGTCTTTGGAGAGATGGAAACAGGAGACTCAGACACAGCCCCACAGCTGGGAACCCTCAGTCCCACTGCACTCCCGCCAGAAACCTTGCCATCACCGCCCCCCAACACACGGCGCACAGAGCTCCTGGCCGCGCTCGGAGCCAGGCGTGAGCAGGGCTCAGGGGAGAGGGCACTGGCACATCCATCCCCACAGTTCGCCCAACAACCAGGGATGCCTCAAGCGGGAGTGAAGGCTCCTCCTCCACCTTCACCTCGGCCTGCCCACCTCCTCCACAGACAGGAAGGAGAGAGCGGCAAGCCGAAAGCCAAGGCCGGACTGTATGAGCCTCCGGTACAGAGGGTCCTGTTACGCCCAGCAGATGGCAGGCTGGGCTGGGCAAACGCAGGGGTGCGGAAGTGTACCAGTCCTATCCAGCCTCCCCACCCTCCTCCTTTATGTCCGTGAGAACACAAAGGCTCAGAGGCACAGGGACCCTCCAGCCCCGGCTATCAGGCTACACACTGGGGGTAGCCAGAGGCCATCACTGTGCCCACCCCACTCAGCCCCACCCCCAGCCCCACTCCCTGTGCCTCAAGGCACTCACCTGGGCAGGCTTGTGTGATGGGCCTTCTGCTGCGCTCCACAGAAATGAGCTCCGATGGCACAGGAGGCGGAATTCAAGAGTCATCATCCCCCGCACAGGCACCGGGCTCAGCCTCCTGTGATGCAGTCCTCTCTCGAGCCAACGGGGCTGTCAGACCCTGGGCTCGCAGGAGGAGCCCACCACCCAGGAACAGGATCCCGCAGAGCACCAGGAGCGACAGCACGCCCAGCACTACTGCCTGCGCCATGCGTGGCCCCTCTGGGGTCCCAAGTGGCAACCCCGACTGGTTGCAGCAGCTCAGCCAGGCGGCCTTGGCCGAGGCTCCCACCTGGGAGCCGTTCATGCTCCCAGCAGCTGGCCAGATATGCGCGCTTCGAGCTGAGGCCCAGTCAACATATTTAAGGGGCGGGCCTCCAGGGGGCCCTACGACCCACTCTGCCCAACTCCATGCAGAGATCCTGCTCAGGCCCCTCCCACACAGGCTTCTCCAGAGTGGCCTCTAGGGCTTCCTGTGACAGGCTACGTCTTAGGCCTGGACTATCTGTTCCCCAACTCCACGTCTGTAATTCAGAAATTGCTGGTAAGCCCAGGACTGTCCCCAAGGCTTTCCTCCCTTGCAAAGGCCAAGATTCTGCACCCTCTGGGCTTATCAGAACTTCTAAGATTCTGGACACCCTACACCCACCCAGGCCCCAGTGCTGACCACTCTGAGCGAAGCACAGGGCAAACAGCTCTCTGTTCCCACCTACAAGTTCAACACTTCTTGTCCACAGGGACTGTCAGAATGGTGGAAACCCTTCCCTCAGGGCAGGCAAGAATAACATGGGACTCTTCCAGACCCCAGGCCAGAAAGTATGGCTAGAACAAGGTACCCGATGGCAAGGCCTGCCTCCATTCTTTTCCTTCTGTCCTATTTACCAAGGGCACAGATCTAGAGAACAAGAGGGGAGGGGGTCACAAGGTCACAGCCCAGACCACAGCATGCCGGGCAAACTTGTGATGGCACCTTTTCCACCACCAAGCCCTCTCCGGCATCCTCCAGAGCCAGAGACTGAGAGTAGAGTAGAACACCAGAGCCTGTCAGGGAACAGCCAGAGGCAACGCAGGCACAACCCTGGCCATGCACCCTGCTCCAGGACCATGACCAGGACGCCGCAGCTCCAGCATTTCTCCTGACAGGCAGCACTCAGCTGCGCTCAGATCTCCCCAGACGTAGTCAAGGGCATCACAGAGAGCAAATGAACAAAGCACAAAGCACAGCAGTGGAGACTGTGTGCCTGTGTAGAAGCGAGTGTGTTCCCGAGCACTGCCGTAAGAGTGAGGACGGGCCAACTGAGCACCGTCACGGGACATCATAATCCCAAGACTGCCTTTCTTCAGATGCCCCAATAACCACAAGCCACCCCACGGGACAGGTCAGGGTTACCCCTGGCTGGCCAGCACATGCGTATGTGGATGTCTTACACCACAAGCTCCATCAGTTTTAACCTCTCCTTAAACTGCATCAGCCTGCTCCTGCTCTAAGCTTGGACTAGAACCCTCAACATACGGTGTCCTCAGGGGAGTGTCAGAAAGCGTCCATGTTTCCGGGCAGGACACAGGTCAAGAGAGCTGAGACAATCTCGCACGTCAGCTTTATTTACCACCTCACGGTGGCTCTGTACAACACAGACAGCGAAGCCCACCAGGGCCAGTGTGCGCCGCTGCACCCAGGGCCACAGCACCGCAAAGCTGGTGACCACAAAGCAAGGACACCGCGGGCTTCCCTTCAAGTCTCACCAGAGCTCCACGCCACGCGCTCCCAGAGCCGAGGGCTGCCGAGGCTCCCGCACGGCTACAGGGCGAGGGTGTCTTTGATGAGCCTGCGCATAGTGGTGGTGACCGAGGTGCCCAGCGCGTCGGTGATCTGGAAGGAGATCTTGTAGAGGTAGGGCTGCACGTCCCGCAGGCCCGTGTCGAACACGTTGTCCACCTCTGACTGCGTGGGCATCTTGGGCAGGTACTCGTGCCGGCTCATCACCTCCACGATGTTGATGATCTTCTCGCACAGCTTCTCGCCCACCTTCTCCCGGCAGATCTGCCGCTCCTGCTCTGTGGCCAGGGCCACCACATGCACCTTGACTGTCCACACCTCCCAAGGGATGCACTCATCCGAGAAAGGCCAGCGCGACTTTTTCTTCTGGTAGAATTCCAAGGACATCTGGCCCAGACCGTCACCACCCGAGTTCCGCAGTGCGTCCTGGGGAAGACAGGAGACATGAGCAGGCCATGGCCTTACACGGTTCTTATCCTGTGAGCCTGATTCCCATACCCAGGAAACTGGTTTCCACCCCTACCCACCCAACCCCCTAAACAAGGCAGGACACGGAACCCAGTAAGCTGTGTGACTTGTGTGAGGCGACACCAAACTCTGACGGCCTCAGACTGGCTCAAGCAAACTTGCCCACAGCTGGCTGCTGAGCAGTGCTGCATCCAACCTGAGCTGAGGTGCACACACACGCCACACAGGCACACACTCACACATGTTGTGGGTTAAACGGGATTGGCCACAGGCTCATACTGAATCCTCAGTCCCTGGCTGCTGGAATGGTTGGGGTTTTACTTAAGGCTATGTGAGGATATGAGGAATTTGCGACATGGATGCGGAAACATCTGAGGTACTTCTCAAAAAAGGGACAACAAAGGTGAGAAGGAACACAGGAATGACAACGCCTTCCCCAGCTTCTAGAAAACAGGACAGACGTGCCCCCACGCCCCAGACATTCATTTAACCTTGAAGACACACCTGAGAATCAGGCTTCCTGGCTGAACTGTAAACAGTAACTATCAAGGAGCCATAACGATAAAGAGAGCCTTCAATGCAATGCGTTTGGACTCCTGTGCTCCTTGGCTAGGTCCCTGGTTTCCGTTCCGCCCTTCCACATCAATCGACCTCTCACAAGAACCGTTTGATTGGGAAGAGGGTGCCACTAGGAGCAGGCTTTGAGGCCTCAAAGCCCATCGGCTCCTGCTCATGGATCAAGAGTTCTCAGCTACTGCTCAAGCACCATGTCTGCCCGTTGTCATGCTCCTCACCACCATGACCGTGATTCTAACCCTCTGAACAGAAGCCCCAAATAGAACACTTTAATGGCTGCCTTGTCACGATGTTTAACCAAAGGACTACAAACGTAATCAAGACAGAGTGCACACCTGCAATCCCCGCACAGGGGAGGTAAAGGCGGGAAGAATGGGAGGGTTCAAGCAGACTGAACTTTCAACATCCCCACCGGCTTCTCTGAGCCACCCCAGAAGGGGGAGACTCTTTGTCTTACTGCGGTGAAATGACAGTAGAGAAGAAACAGCACACAGGTGAACAGACTGCTCAGTAAGGAAGTGTGCTCGCAAGCCTGGGGACCAGAGTCTGACCCCACAGCCACAGACAGATGCTGGGACGTGTGGATGCTGTGAAGGCGGGGCAAGGGGGTGCCTGGGCTCACTAGCCAGCCAGTCCAGCCTAACTGTGAGCACTGGGCCAGTAAGGCACTGTCTCAAAGGATGATGCCCTGGCTATGTCCCGGCCTCCATAAGCACGTTACACACACATCTGTGCACACACACACACAAAGGTATTTAAAAAAATCACCTGCCAAAGTGATCTCCTGAAGGGCTGCACCAAGTCTGACTCCAAGTTGTCTGATCACAGTTGTCACTCAGCTTCACACCAAGGCCTCCACTCTCACACTAGGGCCTCCTCTGTCACACTAGGGCCTCCTCTGTCACACTAAGGCCTCCTCTGTCACACCATTCTCAGGTCCCTCGACCTTTACATCACTTACCCGGGCTGCAGAAGCAGCTCACTGGTTGGTACTTGCAGAGGAGCCCAGTAGTTCCAACACTCAGAACCACATCTAGCTCTAGCTCCATGGAATGTGACAGCCTCTCTGGCTTCCACAGGCATGCGCACATATGTGGTATATACTCACACGGACACACATACATGTAATAAAATACAATCTCTAAAACCTCACCAAGATCTCCTCCCCAGATAAACCCTACTTACTTCCTACGTCATTACAACACAAACGAAGTCTCTTTTTAAAAGCTGGAAGAACAGGAAGCCTTAGGGACCGATTTAGAAGAGGACGTCGAGGGATGGAGTTAGGAAATGAAGGACGAGCAGATCTGGCAGCTTCATCTGCTCTCTTCGTGGGACCAAGCATCAGGAACTCTACCATGCTGTCCTGTGGGCTACCGCTCCAGCCTGGGCACAGAAGGCAAAGACGCCCCCAGGGTGGGCACAGCCATTCCTCCACAGACAAACAGTCTCACACCCCTGATGGACAGTGACAATGGCTAACAGCCTGGCGTCAGCATCGCACACTAGGCACATCCTGATCACTACAGAAGCCATGAGGCAGGTTCCACTGCAGCTCCCAGTTCATTTTCTGTGAGGTCACCTGCCAGGGGCAGACTTGCTGAGGAAGGGATGGCTCTGGTCCCTACTCTTAGGCAGTCCTTTCTGTGCCCGCCAGTCACCAAGCAATCAGAAGGCCGAGCACTGCCTGTCTAAAGAGTGACAGGAAATCTTCACAGGCTCGCCCTGGCCAAGCTTACAGTGCCCAGGAACAGACAGGCTCAGGGAACAAAGGAACAAAGGGAGGAGAAAGAGAAAGAAGAGGAGGATTCCCCTACAATACTTTGAAACTAGAGTTCTTACTGAGGAAAAAGATAAAACTCACATTGCCAGTGATGGGGGAACAGGGCAATCTGGGAGAACTGAAAGACACCATGTGACACGCTGTCTCTCATGGGAAATCTAGATTAAATACACACACACATGTGGGACACAAAAGACGGACTGTCTCGGGGAGAAAGGCGACCAGCGAGAGGGATGGAGAAATCAAGGTACAGTGACACACATATGAAGACGTCATAATGGAAGCTGTTATTCTTTATACTATCTGAAAAATAGTAAAACCCAGTCCACTTCCATCACCGGAGGGAGGTGACCAACATGAGCAGCTGGTGTGTCCCTTGCCCCTTTCCCCCTGCCTGGAAAAGTGTACACAAGCCTGGGTCACAGTGACCAAAGGAATTTCAAATTCAGACAGAGGCCACTCAGGTGAGAACTTCTCCAGACTGGAAAGGCCCAGACTATATGGGTAAGAAACAAGAGAAGCTGTCATGGACAGCTGTGGAGCTAGGGGAGCGGTGACCGCCTCCCAGGGACCTCACGGCTTAAATCCGAGGGGCTGGTGTGGTTCCTGGCTCGCCCTTCCTCCTAAGGACTGGCACATGCGGCCCCACCAGACACACAGGGCCCACCTCCCGAAAGGGGCTCTTAGTATAGCTGTTCTTTTT